CATTCCGTATATATATGCTTTGAATAAATGGTTGGCTGAATAGCTTTTAATGTTTGTTTTCTCTTTCATCTAACTACAAACTGTTACGTATTGAGTTTCCGATTTAGAAGCCAGAACATGTAAGCACCAGGATCCGTTAGTATGCCTACTTGGCTAACTACTAATAATAATTTTCAAAAATGAAAATGAAACTAGCCACAATGAGAAATGAAAATGAGCGTAACGTTTCGAACTCTTCACGAGGTCCTCTTCAGACAAAAACCATTTCGATTTTTGTCTGAAGAGTTCAAAACGTCACGCTTATTTTCATTTCTCATTGTGACTAGTTTCATTTCTTCATATATATATATATATATATATATATATATATATATATATATATATATGTGTGTGTGTGTGTGTGTGTGTGTGTGTGTGTGTGTGTGTGTGTGTGTGTGTGTGTGTGTGTGTGTGTGTGTGTGTGTGTGTGTATGTATGTGTACACACATACACATACATATAATATATATACATGTATATATATTGTATATGCAATATACATAATATAATATATTATATATATATATATATATATATATAATATATATATATGTGTATGTATATATATAATTTCATCTTCTACTCCTCCCCCTCCCCTCCCCCTCATCCTCGATTTTCTTCTTTTATCAATTTCCTCACCCACGCGTCATATTTATCCTGTTTGATGTTAGAAACCAATGACTGAATGCTACGTTACCCAATACATCTTGCTGTGGAAGCCACTTCTGTATCAGCACGTTGTCCGAGACGCCCTCCAGTTCTTCCTCGTACTTCCAGATGACTCTCTGCTTCAGCCTCTTGAAGGCCTCCACAAACATGTCGCGATACACGACCGGCATGGTGGTACCTCGGACAACCTACCACTGAAGTACACGACCTCTGGGCCTGCGCCGGAGATCCAGGCTTCTAGATTCTGTGGGTTTAGACGCTTAGTTTCATGTGCAGCCAATGTGTGGTGGTGGTGGGGTTGGGGGTTCAGGACGGGAAGCCATTTACTCCTTCCGTCGATAACCTATGTTCTTCCTATTAGTCGTATCAACTAGGTCATTGCCCTAAAATCAGATCTTGTACCCACCCACCTTCGGAAGGGGATTCGCGGGGCGGCAATGGATGGCGCCCACCGCCACCTGCGACGGCAGCAGAGGAAGAGCCACGTCTATCGAGAAGTGCGAGTTGATCAGCGTCAGGCTCTGGTTGCGCTCGATGTCCAGCAGCGGCGGAAGGTCCGGGAAGATGTCCGAGATCTGCAAGATTCAAGTGGACTTTGGCTGCATACCTCCTGCTAAAGGACCTCGTTTCTCTTCATTCGTCTTATGATATTTAAAACACAGTTTATGATTACATGACACATACCAACATGCAACTATAAACGCTTATAAATTCATTATCATGTAAGAATAGAAATCAGTAGCAATAATCCCATTGAGATAATGATACAGATACGTACTATCATTATTATAACAGTAATAATAATGGTAGTAAGGGGTCATCCATAATTTTCATCATTATCACATGTCTACAAAGCGGAGACATGAGCAAAAAATAAGTGTCTATATGTGGATTTTTCTTTTGTGGTTCCATGAATTCAAAATAAAACCATATTTTGTTATATTGCTCTTTTACAGAATTAAAATCAAGTCTGATGACAGGAGAATACATCGAACCTACGGATTTGTCTTTGTGTAAGCTGTATTTTTGTTCTTTTTCATGACTACAGATGGTTTGATGCAAATGAAAAGTGTTTTAGCAATATTGAAACATTTTCCATATTCAAATAAATCAAATGAAAATTGCTGAAACCATTCCGGAATGAGCTGATATGAAGCAGCAGACCGAACGTCATTGTAGCGGAAATTTCATCTGATGTCACTTCAGCTGGGTCTTCCAACTTCAGCCATATAATGCACTCACTATGAATAGTAGTATACTTTTTAGATTAAGCACGTTTACAGGTTCAATATCGTATTTCTTAAGTTATACATCTAATATATTTTCTATAAAGAGATGCAGATGCATTTTATAATGTTGAATGTTGTTACATTATTGGCTTAATAATGTACTTATTGTATATTATTTATGTAGTGTAATAAACAAGAAATTAATACAGGGAATCCTATAATCATGAGACTCTGACCCTACGCATTGTAGCTGTAATCTAATATCCATTCGTTTATGATCGTTAATGTTCAGTTTTATTATCAGATATGTTTTCTTTATCACCTAATGTTCAAAAACCGGCAGAAATGCTCCTACGGAGAAGCAGCCAGCCCTGCTAGCAACACCGACGTGACGCGAAATTTGAAACAGCGGCCGCCGATTCGCCCATCATCGCAGATCATTTTACACATTCCAAAGAAGTGTACGCTTGGTCTGAACTCCCTCCCCCCCGCAAACGGTTTGTACGTTCGAGATAATGATGAAAATTATGGATGACCTCTACTACGATACAGTATTATCTGAC